CGATAACACTAATACACAATATTTTCATTTATTTATTTATTATACAACCAATGCATTTCATATACATCCAACAAAATAAATTAATTGAAAAAAAGGTACAATTCTTTGACTAAAATCAACATATTTTTCTCTTGAAGAAATTCTGTGCATTTTGTTCTGGATCTTCGTCGTCACCATCTCGGTATTAAACATTTCATATACAACACACGGAAAACATTTCACATTTTCACTCTTAACCCAGGATAACCCAAATAATTCCACATTTTTTCGTTAATACTACCCACAACATTCCAACAATTTCTTTTTCTTTAACAAAGATTCACTCTTCCTCAAGTCTAGACATTTTCTCGTTTTTAACTATTTCCATCAGAAAAAGTCACCACAACACTTACAACTTATAACCACTTCGATAAATTCACTAAGTCACAATTTTACATATTGCGAAGTTAATACGCGGCGCGCGCACACACACACACACACACACACACACACACAACACACACAACACACACACACACACACACACCACACCACACACACACACACACACACAACACACACACACATTACTTGAACAACCTCAAAACACTCTCATAAATCATTTTGAATACTCACAAAGCACCTTCTATTACACTTACATATTCATTAAATTCAACACATCCCCCCAAAACTCCTCCCTCATTCTCCAGATTTTTACAACAGTATCACAAAACTAACTCAGACACTTTACCTTTGAACAACACCAAAAACACCATCAATTACCTTTGAATAACTCCCAAAACAATCATTCAAACACAGCCAAATCACCACTGAATACTCCCAGAACACCTTCATAAATACTCATTGCACATCATAGAACAGACTACTTCAAAAACACTATGAATAGTCTAAACACCATTTGATGTACTCCCAAATACACCACTGGAATACACTAAACACCACTGAATACACTCAAAACATCACCAAAATCACCATAAACTAAGATCAACATCACAACTAACACCAATTTTCTACACAAATTCCCCTCAAATCACTATAACCAAAAGATTACCAATTTCTATGAGTACACTCACGTCCCAACTAAGATATAACATGAATGCAAAAAAAAACATGAACACAATCCAAACACACATGAACACTTATAACGAGAATCACTTCTTTTCGTATCCTCTAGTTCGACAACAACGCCTCACAACCCACAACACCCACATCCCACAACACCCACATCCCTCAACACCCACAACCCACAATTTTTTCCCTCGTTTTAACTATTTTCATCAGAAAAAGTCACAACCACAACCCACAACTATAACTCACTTTTTCGGCATCACTAGTTTCGACAACAATACCCACCAACCCTCATCACTTACCAATTATGCCACAAATTTATTCAATACAAGTTTTTCTTCCCCTTCTTTTTACTGAAATCGTAATGTAAGCACATTCCTCCCTACATTACTAAAATTTTTTTCCTAATAAATCCTCTCCATAACCATCTCCTTGTATCCACATAAATTGATAATATACTCACAACAACTACATCTCACTACCCAACACTGCGACATGTTTCTACCAAAAACCCTCCATCTTTTTCAATGACATCATAACTTTTCACTTATCTATAATTTCTTTTAAAATATTCACACATTACATTCATTTACAGTAAAATCCCATCCCCCCCCCCATATTTCATTAAATTTTCTAATACAACCCTCCCCATAAACCCCTCTACCATCCTCACCCCACATTTTCTTCACATCCACTCAGCCCGTCTCCCCAACACAACCTCTTCATAACAAACCAACAAAATCACATTTCACATCACAAAGCATCTCATCACCCATCTCAAATCCACTAAAATCAATGTAACCAAATATTCACAAAATGTCTAATGACCACCAAACACACACATCCGACAACTCACTTTACTTTGAACACTAACCAAAAACACCAACAATTTACCATTGAATACTCCAAAAACACATTCGAACACCCCCATCATTTTTTTTAAAATATATCAACGAATACATCCAACTAAAGGTAGAATTATAAATCACATTTTTAGCCACATTCCCTCGATTTCGGTAATAATGAACAAAATGATTGGGATAACATTTAACATTTCCAAATTACGTGGAGCACATTCCAAAAATATATTGGAACACTTCCAAAATACAGTAGAATGTACATCCAGAATTACTTTCAACGTACTCCTTTTTTTGGATATTTCCAAATAGTTTTGGAGACTTTCTTAAAATCGAACATTATTTTTCTTGTTGGTAAACACACTCAAGTGGTAAGAAATAATTCACTCGATTCTGGATAGAAACACAAGCCTCACTCCCGTAGAGACTCCTTGAGCTTTATATGGCTTACCCCCCACAGTATTGCATCATGAATTTTTTTAATACAACCCCCTCCAGCGACGCCATGACATGGTGTTCACAACCCAAGGTTAGATTTAAGATAATCCTCTCTTTCCAACACCAACTGTGTCCCTCTTGTGCTAAGAATTCGTGAGGTCACATGGCTGACAGACACCATGAAATTAACTTAAATGAGAATATAACATTTTGTATTCTACCTCAATACTTTTTTCATGGTAAGGTTTGATTGATTTAAAATTCATTATGTCTTAAAATTTTTGTATTCAACATTTCTCTTTTTAGTGAATGAATCATCATATATTATTATCTGGTGAACAATACACTCTAAACACATAACTCCTCCTCTCTAAGTCTGTCTTCAAGCCCCGTCACATCGTACCTGTAAATGTTAATATTTTTTTAATTTCATTAGCATATAACTGGGAAAATTTGCATCATCACCGGAAAAGATTACCAACCAACTAAAAGTTCATATGTTTTTCACTATCCCAAACATATGCCTCTTCAAGTGTTTTACATCAGTATTCTTCTCGTAACTAAATATCTTCCCATTATTAAGAGATTTAAAAGTCATAATCATACTGTGTCCCCCTTATTAACTTAAATGAATTAAAAGCATCTTGTTAACTTAAACGAGTAAGTATTATGGTTAGACATGATTCTTGGTGTTTCAGGTAGAGAGAGAAGGCCGAAATGGTAAGTACACATTTCACAAAGAGGCTAAATAATGAGTTTATATATTATTCAAATATATCTCTCTCTCTTCAAGTTATAATTACTTCCTCATGATAATTTAAATGAATTAAGCACTGATACAAGTAAATAATTTTGCTTACCTTATAAGTTACTCACACATGTAGGTTCAATTTTATAATATATTGTTTAATATCTGTGAAAAAGTTCCCATCCAATATTTTCCACTTTTTATATGTGTTGTACCATCAATGCAAAAGCTCAGATTATATGTCTATTAAATATTTGACTGACGCAGTATTTCAGATATATTGTATTCCAAAATATAATAATACCAATCGTCACTCCCATTCCGTTACCATTTCATCAATGAATTCATGCAAATCAAGTTCATTCTCTAACCAATTTTTAACTACGTTGAAATTCTTTTTCGCTCAGTGATTCACCATCTTTCCTTAAAGTTGATTGACAAATAAGTGTTGCAAAATTCCAACCAAGGAAGATCTTGCACCGATTTTCCACAAAATAACAATGAAATCGCCAAGTTTCCCTCCCACATATCGATCTTTCCATGCGGTCCCTGACTATGTCCTGGCGGTGACTTACACACAACTCTCCTCATACACATAAAGAGTTTTGCGAAATAGTATTAAAATGAAAATTTTCATTAAACTTACCTAAACCCTAGATCAGCCATTTCAAATCCATTTTAATAATTAATTTTTTGGGCTTTGTATAATAAAAGTTTTAGGTAAATCACTCCTCCATTCACATTCTCATAACAATAAATTTTCCAATATTGCTTCACTCCATCATTGAGTCATTTCTCGTAACATCAGCTACAATCGCTTCTTTTGAGAGAACCGTGTTCCGCCATCAGACCTTTTTTGAATGGTTCGAACTCTCTTAATTGTATATAACATTTCTATAAACACCACACTAGTATTTTTGTTCGCAACCACCTCCATAATTTCTTCTTCTGCTCAAGTGATTTCTGGTCTTACCATTTCACTCCAAATATTTATACCAAAAATTTTCAATCGTGTCATTATCAATATCATTTTTTAATAATACAAATACCATTACAGGGGATTTCTTTCAAAGCGATATATTTTTATCCATTGTATATTCAAATAATATGTTTAACCATTGTTAACTTTCTTATTTTTTCAGTAAAAAAATATTCTCAGAAAATATTTTTTTGGGCAACACTAACTCGCTTGTGACGTCACGTTCACAAACAGGATTGAGCAGGTATCTTTCCCCTTAACTTAAAAGCATAATCATACGTGACCCACTTATTAACTTAAAGAATTAAAAAGCATGGACATCACGATACTCATTGATCAAATTATCTTCCCTTAATTGTCTTCATCATTTCCAAGTTATGTACCATCAGTATAGTAATAACAAGTCCAAATACCATTGAAGTAAAGTTATGAATTACACTCTACAGACCCAAACAAACGCATTACCAATCCAATCATTTGCTAGCAATCCACACACTTGGCGAAGTTCCCCATGGGGTTTGTTCATCGTCATCCATGATACAACTTTTTCTTGCTAAGATCCCCTTTCCCGAATAATGGTTTATATTCATTCCACTTAAGATTCTTCCACCTCAAACAAAGAAAATCCAACAAAATGTTTAACTCTCTCCCCATCCTGTATGACACTAAAACTTGTCTAGGTCATTCACCTATCGTCATGGTGATGCCACGTAGTTTTTTTCCATGGAACAAATTTCTCCACACATATAGTTATAAAAACTACTAACTCGACAACCCCTCGTGGTGAAAAGAAGTATAAGAAAAACACATTTGTATTGAATACACGATATTAAGATGGAGACTTCAGATCTAATGTAAGTTTCCTGGACCTGTAAAAATTCAAGTGAGATTTTTGTTATAGTCTAAAAAAAAATTCGTGTTAGAGTCATCTTGTGTTTAAGTTAACAAGAGGAAAAGTTCATTTAATAAGTGGAAGTTACATGTGAAAAATTTGTTACAGAAGCAAAAGTGTCTACACATCACTGATCTGATAAAGAAATGATTAATTCGATAGAAGACCTTGATCACAACCCTCCAAAACGAAGGAAGGTGACTGAACAATATCTCACCGATAAAGAAATGCTTATAGCAATGGAAGATTTTGAACGTGAGTTTTTAATGAGATATTATTGAGTAAATTCACCCACAATGTAATTTTTAGAAATTCTAATGAGAAATATTTTTTTTCATTTGTTGAGTAACAAACTTAATTTTTGGGATATAATACTATATTTTATCAAAATTACAGGTAAAGAAGCAACAAAAGATGAAGAAAAATATCTTTCATTAATGAAAGGTAATATTACAAAAGATTTTAGTGGCAGTGATAAAATTCTTTTAGTACAACAAGCAAATTGTTGTGCTGTTAAATTGAAAAAGGGAGGTCTTGCTGATGCTTTAAGTCAGGTTTTACCACTTAGCAATCCATATTTATTTAGATCACCTGGATGTCATAAAGCAAATCTAGCTAGTGAAGTCACTCGTGATAAATTTGGGAGCATAAAATTTGTAAATAATGGAAAAAATAACCCCATGATTGCCAATATGTTCGCACAGTATGCGATGGGACCTCCACATAAGTATTATATGAACTGTAAAGTTGATAAGACCTACTATAATACATGCAAATATTTAGATACAAAGAAAGGTCGTGAGATTATATTCAAAGAGTGCATGAATGATCTTGTTAAGTGGTTATTAACAGATCCCAACGGGATTATAATGGAAAAAGTTGTGTTTCCAGAAGGAATTGGATGTGCTTCAGCCGGAGGTGATTGGCATGCACACTTTTAGTTCATTTAAGTTAACAAGGGAAAGTTCATGATTTTGCAAAGGAATTAAAAAAACGTCGTAGAAATATTGTTGTCATTATTGTAAAATATGACAAATAAAATATCTCTATAATACTTTTTTTGTTTTATTCACCATCACTCTAAAACCTTATTAGGCAACTGAATAGAGATCATACGTCTGGCAGGAATGGTGATGAGTATAAACATCTCTGATCTTTGTTGTTCATACATTAGTACCTCTTCCACCAGGGTGCGACTAACCATCTCAAGAAAATGGAGACAGACAATAGGATGGAAAAATATTTTAAAATTGAAGAAGGAAAATTGTACGATGAAAAATATTGTCGTGACAACGTCTGCATTATTTTTCATGCGAATTGTGTTGCTATAAAAGGATATGGTGCAAGTTATTATTTGGGTAAGAAATATCCTTATGCTGATGTGTATCGGAGTAGAGAACCATTATTTAATCTGAGAAGATGCAGAAGTTGAAGATCGTGATACTCCTGGAATCTGTTATCGAGTTTGAACCTTCACCAGATCAAAGAAAAATTGAATCTTCCTTATTTAGCAGCATAATAAGCCAATTGGTATTGCTGGACCATTGGAGGAAAAATACCATTTCTCAAAATTTAATTGAAAAATCAAGAGATTCCCATTTGGTGTATGGTTTAAAGAAAGATACTATCGCAGACAGAATAAGATATTTCAAGGAATCCATTGAGAGAGTCAAAAAAGTGTGAAAGACAATAAAAATATAAGAGAGGTTATCTTTCTGAAAGGTATTGGGAGGTATGAAACTTCAATTATTATATCTGGAATACACATTATAAACCCATACTCGAAGAAAATGATAATGAAATTTAAGGAAGAAGGTATTCGTACAACATGGTTGTCAAAGAAGAAATGAAAAACATTAACAAGTCAAGAATTAAAAATGATTCGAAGTTATTGTCTTTAGAATTGAAGGAAGTGCTTGTGTATCCCTCATGAGGTAAGCAAATTATTTACCTTGTATCAGTGGTTTAATTCATTTAAATTATTATGAGGGAAATAATTATAACTTGAAGAAGAGAGATATTATTTGAACTAATATATATAACTCATATTTACCTCTTCGTGAAATGTGTCACTTACCATTTCGGCCTTCTCTCTCTACCTGAACACCAAGAATCATGTCTACCATAATACTTACATCATTTAAGTTAACAAGACGCTTTTAATTCATTTAAGTTAATAAGGGGACACAGTATGATTATGCTTTTAAGTCAATAATGGGAAGATATTTAAGTTAACGAGAAGAATACTGATGTAACACTTGAGAGGCATATGTTTGGGATAGTGAAAAAAATATGTAACTTTTAGTTGGTTTATATCTTTTACAGGTGATGATGCAAATTTCTCCCCATTATATGCTAATGAAATAAAAAAAATATTAACATTTACAGGTACCGATGTGACGGGGCTTGGAAGAACAAGACTTAGAGGGGAGGATTTATGATGTTTAGAGCGTGTTGTTACACCAAGATTAATAATATATGATGATTCATTCATTAAAAAGAGAAATGTTTAATAAAAAATTTTAAGACATAATGAATTTTAAATCAATCAAACCTTACCATGAAAAAAGTATTGAGGTAGAACACAAATGTTATATCTCATTTAAGTTAAATTTCATGGGTCTCTGCAGCCCTGTGACATCACCAAATTTTAGCACAAGAGACACAGTTGGTCTGGAAAGAGATGATTATCTTAAATCTACCTTGGGTGTGAACACCATTTTCATGGCGTCGCTGGAGGGATAGTAAAAAAATCATGATGCAATACTTGGGGTAAGCCATATAAGCTCAAGGAGTCTCTCAGAGTGAGGATTGTGTTTCTATCTGGAAATCGAGTGAAATATTTTCTACATTGAGTGTGTTTACCAACAAGAAAAATAATGTTTTGATTTTAAAGATAAAGTCTCCAAACTATTTGGAATATCCAAAAATGGGAGACGTTGAAAGTAATTCTGATTACTCTAACTGTATTTTGGAAAGTGTTCCAATATATTTTTGATGTGCTCCAAACGTAATTTGGAAATGTTCTAATTTATTCCCAATCATTTTGTTCATAATTAACCGAAATCACGGAGAGAATGGTGGCTAAAAATGTTTTAATATCATATCTTAGTTGGATGTGTTCGGATATATTTTTAAAAAAATGATGGGGGTGTTTCGAATGAAATGTTTTTGGAGTATTCAGTGGTAATTGTTGTGTTTTTGGTAGTGTTCAAAGTAAAGTGAGTGTCCTGTGTTGTGTTTGTGGTCATAGGAATTTTGTGAAATATCTTGGCTACAGTGAAATTAAGTGGATTTGAATGGGTGAATGAGATCATTGTGGATGTGAAATGTGATTTTTGTGTTTGTTCGAAGAGTGTGCTGGGAACGGGTGAGTGGATGAGAAGAAATGTGGGTGGAGATGGAGAGGGGTATGGGGAGGTTGTATTAGAAATATTTAATGAAATATTGGGGGGGGGGGATCTTACTGAAAATTAAGGGAATTGGGTGAAATATTTAAAAAGAAATTATAGAAGTGAAATGTTATGATGCATTGGAAAAGAATGTAGGGTGTAAAACAATGCCGCAGTAGTTGTGTAGTGAGATGATTAGTTGTTGTGAGTAATTATCAATTTATGTGGATACAAGGAGATGGTATGAGAGACTTTATTAGAATTTTAGTAATGTTATGAGTGATGTCATTACATATAAGATTCAGTAAAAAGAAGGGAAAAATTTGTATTGAATAAATTGTGAATAAATTGGTAAGGTGATGAGGGTTGTGGGTTTTGTGTCGAACAAGTGACGCCAAAAAAAGTGATTATAAGTTTGGGTTTGTTGATGGACTTTTTTCTGATGAAATAAGTTATAAACGAAAAAAATTGTGGGGTTGTGAGTGTTGTGGGATGTGGGTGTTGTGTGGATGTGGGTGTTGTGGGTTGTGGGCGTTTGTTGTCGAAACTAGAGATACCGAAAAAGAAGTGATTTCTGTTATAAGTGTTCATGTGTGTTGGGATTGTGTTCATGTTTTTTTTTTGCATCTATCTTAGTTTGGAGGTGAAGTGTACTCATAGAATTTGGTAAAGTCTTGGTTATAGAGATTGAGGGGATTTTGTGTGAAAAAATGGTGTTAGTCTGTGATGTTGATCTTAGTTTATGGTGAATTTTGGTGGTGTTTTGAGTGTATTCGTGGTGTTTTAGTAGTATTCAGTGGTGTAATTGGGAGTACTCCCAAATGGTGGTTTGAGACTATTCAAAGGTGTTTTTTGAAGTTGTTCAAATGATGTGCAAGAGTATTTATGAAGGTGTTCTGGGAGTATTCAGTGGTGATTTGGGCTGTGTTTGAATGATGTTTTTGGAGTATTCAAAGGTAATTGATGGTATTTTTGGTGTTGTTCAAAGTAAAGTGTCTGAGTTAGTTTTTGTGATTACTGTTGAAAAAATCTGGAGAATGAGGGAGGGGTTTTGGGGATTGTTGTAATTTAATGAAATATGTAAGTGTAATCAAAGGTGATTTTGTGAGTATTCAAATGATTTATGAGAGTGTTTTGAAGGTGTTCAAAGTAATGTGTGTGTGTGTGTGTGTGTGTGTGTGTGTGTGTGTGTGTGTGTTGTGTGCCTATTAACTTCGTAATATGTAAAATTGTGACTAGTGAATTTATCGAAAAGTGGTTATAAGTTGTAAGTGCTGTGGTGACTTTTTCTGATGAAATAGTTAAAACGAGAAAAATGTCTAGACTTGAGGAGAGTGAATTTTTTGTAAAGAAATTGTGGAATGTTGTGGGTATTAACGAAAAAAATGTGGAATTATTTGGGTTATCCTGGGTTAAGAGTGAAAATGTGTAATGTTTTCCCTATGTTGTATATGAAATGTGTAATACTGAGATGGTGATGACGAAGAAGATCCAGAACAAAATGCACAGAATTTCTTCAAGAGAAAAATATGTTGATTTTAGTCAATGAATTGTACCTTTTTTCAATGAATTATTTTGTTGGATGTATATGAAATGCATTGGTTGTATAATAAATAAATAAATGAAAATATTGTGTATTAGTGTTATCGTGCATTTTATTGTCTGCTCGACAAGATTCAGCCTGTGTGTGTGAGGTCATCACGTGACGTCACTGACTGCCGAGTAAACACAGGTGGGGTGAAGTCACACTTGTTTATACCTGTAGTAAGAGAAAGTACCATGCCTCATAGGAGGAGTTCATTTGAATGCTTACCCCCAGAGGGGGAAATCCAAAAACTTGATCTGAGGAGATGGAGTCTTTGTATTATTGTTATTGAGAAAAACTTGATCCGAGGAGATGGAGCAGGAATATTTGGGGTAAAAGTGGGTGGTGTGAGGTGTGGGGGGGGGAATCTTTGTATTATTGATATCGAGACAAACTTGATCCGAGGAATTGGAGCAGGGAATTTGGGATGCAAGTGGGAGTCCATTTTGAATGCTTACCCCCAGAGGGGGGAATCCAAAAAACTTGATTCGAGGAAGTGGAGTTTTTGTATTATTGATATCGAGAAAAACTTTATCCAAGGAGTTGGAGAGCACAAGAAAATGAAATTAAAAACAAATTCGAAAAAATCGGAAAAAAATTCGGGGGTGGGGGCGATCTAGATGACGCTGCAGAAGGCACTGCAGAAGGCGTGGTTGGGTGCGAGGGCAGGCGCGGGTCGGCGCGGGCGGGCGTGGGTGGGGTCGTGGGTGGGGGTTGTGGGTGGGGGTCGTTGGGTGGGGTCGTGGGTGGGGGTCGTGGGGGGGGTCGTGGGTGGGGGTCGTGTGGGGTTGGGGGGCCGTGGAGGGTTCATGGATGGGGGTCGTGGGTGGGGGTCGTGGGTGAGGGTCGTGGGTGCGGGTCGTGGGTGGTGGGGTCGTGGGTGGGGGTCGTGTGTAGGGTCATGGGTGGGGCCATGTGTGGGGTCATGGGTAGGGGTCGTGGGGGGGTCGTGGGTGTGGGGTCGTGGGTGTGGGGTCGTGGGTGTGGGTCGTGGGTTGGGTCGTGGGTGGGGGTCGTGGGTGGGGTCGTGGGTGGGGTCATGGGTGGGGGTCGTGGGTGGAGTCGTGGGTGGGGGTCGTGGGTGGGGGTCGTGGGTGGGGTCATGGGTGGGAGTCGTGGGAGTCCACTCTGGAAAGGGAGCCATCAGGAAAAGGAGCCACTCTGTAGAAAGCCTTTTCAGGAGCCATACTGTGGGAGCCATACTGTAGAAAACTTCACTACTCACAACTACTGAACATCATACAACACTAGACACAACTACTGAACATCATACAACACCAGACACAACTACTGAACATCTTACAACACTAGACACAACTACTGAACATCTTACAACACTAGACACAACTACTGAACATATTACAACACTAGACACAACTACTGAACATCATACAACACTAGACACAACTACTGAACATCATACAACACTAGAC